AAAAAGAAGAAATGAGAATATGTTTTTGTTGAGGTAAAAGAAATTAATTTTGTCCTAAAATGAGACTGGTTATTTAGAAAGAAAAGGCTTAGGACAAAATCTGAATGAAAAAGAAAGTTGTAGAAGGTTTGTGAAGGAAAAACTTTGGGAAAGAATTTTACGTGTGCTCAAAACTAAGATGGAAATGAATTCTGCTTTTCTCTCTGTTAAAAAGACAGTTTTCTGGGATTGTTGGTCAGTTCTTGATAAGAAAGTATAAACAGTTTTTTTTTTCTTTTTCTATGCAGAAAACCAAAGTTTCTATGTTTTCCCTTTATCAGGTCTTTGATTACTTAAGAGAACTAAAACTTCTCAAATATTGGACTCTGACTACTGGCTAGCAAAGGGTTGCGAGGGAGGAATAATCCCCAAGAGACACGAACTGGTGAGGGGGCCGAAGAAGGTTGAGAAGGTTGACAAAGATGATGAATTAGTGGCCCAATGGAACTATTGTACTCTAAGTCAAGAAATATTAAGGCGACCAATAGTCGCCTGTGGTTGGCAGACTTTATAACAAAGATGCCCTCATTGAGTTTCTGTTGGACAAGTCTTCCAAAAAGGCTCTTGGGAAGGCAGCATCTCACATTAAAAGCAGTAAGAATGTGACAGAACTAAGGCTTTCTGATAATCCTGCCTGGGAAGGGGACAAAGGAAACACAAAAGGTGACAAACACGATGACCTCCAGCGGGCACGTTTCATCTGCCCCGTTGTGGGCTTGGAGACGAAAGGCCGGCACAGGTTTTGCTTCCTGCGGTGCTGTGGTTGTGCGTTTTCTGAACGAACCTTGAAAGAGATCAAAGCAGAAGTTTGTCGCACATGTGGGGCTGCCTTCCAAGAGGACGACGTCATCGTGCTCAACGGCACCAAGGAGGACGTGGGAAACGCTGAAGAGGAGGATGGAGGAGGCCGAGGGCGAAGCTGGGGAAGAAAGCAAAGAAACCCAAGGCGGCAGAGTGTCTCAAAGCCAGGTGTCAGTGAAGAATCTCTAGGGCCATCAAAAATTAAGACAGGGAAGCCTGAAGAAACCAGCCTTGATTCTAGAGAGAAGAAAGCCAGCTCAGCTCCCAAAAGTGCAGCAGCAAATGGGAGCTCTTCTGGAAAAGTTGGGAAGCCTCTGTGTGGAACCCCAAAGAGGTCCATTGCCGACAGCGAAGAATCGGAAGCTCACAAGTCTCTTTTCACGACTCACAGCTCCGCCCAGCGCTCCAAGGAGGAGTCCGCTCCTGGGCCACCCACACGTCCTACTGTTTCTGAAGCCCTTGCGGCGCTCCACGCCGCGCAGGCGCCGTCCGGTTTCCACGGGGCAGGTGGCGTGGGCGTTACTGTGCGCCGTTCTCTGCTAGCTCTCCCTTTGCGTCCTCCCAAACCCGGGAGCTTGCTTGTGAGGCGCGTGGGTTCCCGCGGTACAGTGCTGGCCCTGCCCGCCCCTCCCACAGGCTCATGCCCTCCCCACGGCCCGGAAGACGCGTTGGCTGCACTTTTTATGCTTGAAATAAAGACTCCAGATTCCTTGGGAAAAGCAAAACAAAACAAAAAAACTTCTTAAATATTAAAGGAGCTAAGTTTTGCTAACTATATAACCTTGTGTAGAATCTCTTATTGCCACCTTGGTTAAATAGGTAATTAAATATTAAGTGTTATGATAATGCTCCTATTTAGGCATGTGCTTTAGAACTTTCTGAGGTTTTTTAAAACAAGCTTTCCCAGATTCAATTTCTAAGTGAAGTCTTTTCGACTAATTAGGCTTTTTTATTTGGTATGTTAAGTTACTGATAAGCCTGGTTTGAAACACTGCTAGTTCTCTAATGTTTGCTCTTCCAAATTTAAGGAAATTTTCTCTTAAGATATCTGTGAATTACGGAAATACGGTAAAATATCCCTTCGTGAACAAATTTAAACATTTAACTTTTCTCCCTACCTCGTGAATTCAGAAACTCTCAGTATTCTTTTTTTCATGGCAATTATAATTATTTGCATAAGTTTGATAAAAATCTGTTCTCCTTGTAACAGGACACCATTGGAAATATTGGTTATACTACCAAGGGTTTGACTGGAATGTCATATTTGAGAGAGACATGCACAGAATCAGATATGACTGGGCAGCTTTAAGGAACTAAGGTTAACTTTGTAGAGTCAATAAAGCTCCTTAGAGAGGTCAATGGGATACCCTGCTTACAAAGTTCCCAGCAGCCTTACCAGATGAGTAAAGAATGCACTTTCTGGCAGGTGCAGGAAACCTCAGGATATTTGGGGGACCTCAAGAAGAGGAATTCACCCAAATCTACAGGTATTACAGGCAAATCTGATGACAAGTATTTGGCTTGGCTTCTGGCCTCAAGAGGCTATTAAAAGTTCAATCTAGGGGTGCTTTGGTGTCTCAGTGGCTCAGGTCATGATCTCAGGGTCCTGGGATCGAGCCCTGCATTAGGCTCTCCGCTCAGCGGGGAGTCTGCTTCTCCCTCTCACTCTTACTCTGTGCTCTCTCTCTCAAATAAATAAATAAAAATAAAAGTTCAATCTAGAGATTCCTTATAAAGAGTTCTAGCAAAGCAAGTATTAAAGAATTTATATGGTCAATCACTATTCTTGCTCAGCTTATGTAAATAATTAGGCCAAGGTTTTTAAAATTGGACTTGTTTTTCAAATGAATTAGTCTCAATTTGGCTATCTTTAGAAATGAGGGTGACTTTAGGGAGAAAAATTATGTTTCAGTAACACACTTTTGTGGATGTTAAATTCTAGTAATGATTATCTTTGAGTGTTTGTTGTTTGCCTATGCTAGACAACTTAAGGTACACTTCAGAGAAACTGTCACAAGAGCTCATGTATAGATAGTCTTCATGCTTGCTTCTCTGTGGGGATAATAACAGGACCCCATATGACTACTTGAACAGTTGGACAATGGGATGGATTCCCCAACAATTGTATAATTCAACTATCACCTTGACCAATTCTATGTGGTTGGGATGACAAAATTGTTCCTTTAAAGCTGGAGCATACCCCATTCCATGGGATTAACTATGGGCTTATGTAGCAATAATGGATCACCCCACTTTCCTTATGATAGGATCGGATGATGCACTTGGGGATACCCTTATTTCCTGGAACAAGTCATCTCCCACTTCCCAGCAATTCCTCCTAATTAGGGTATTATTAAGGCTAGACATCCAACAAAGAAGGCTTCTTGATGCTTTTATCCCCTTAGCTATATTTGTCCCAGGAGCTGCCTCTATTGAATTAAAATTTCAAGTAGAGGCTTTAGCCAAGCATACAGCATCACCTTTAAGCAAACCTCACACTCAGTCACTCACAAATTCAGAAGGTGGCTCTCTAAAACCAAATGGTTTTTCTTGATAGTTGACTGCAGCTCAAGGAGAACCTGTGCTCTCATTAAAAGAGTGTTTGTTGTGTATATGTCCCAAATTACTCAAAAAATGTAACTGATGTTATGAAAGAGTTAAACACATCACCACCATAGATGCCCTAGCTGTAGATCCTTTTACAAATTGGCTAAATTTAACTCCTAAATGGAAACATACCCTATTAAGTATTGCTATATTTCTTGTTCTCCTTGTCTTTGGTTGTTTGTCTTTTTGCATCTGTTAAGCAGGAGCTCACCCTATTCATACTAGCTTGGAGATGCCTTTAGTGTTCCCCTAAGTGGAAATGCCAGAAACAAGATCCCCCCACTCTGTAAAAAAGTCTTTACTCCAAAATCCTTACGTGGTCTCCAATCAGGAGGAAGTAGCTACAGAAGACGACCTTGACCTTTAATCCCACAGATATGGAATGATGAAACTGACAGTGGGGAACTGAAGCCTCCTCTGCCAGTCTGGCCAAGCTACTACTCTTTGAGCTTTAGCAAGCGCCCTTAGCCTCATACCCCATGCATTCTTTTTTTTTTTTTAGATTTTATTTATTTATTTGAGAGAGAGAGTGAGAGCAAGAGAGCACAAGCAGGGGGCAGGGCAGAGGGAGAGGGAGAAGCAAACTCCCCACTGAGCAGGGAGCCCGATGCCAGACTCAATCCCAGGACCCTGGGATCACAATCCCAGCGGAAGGCAGATGCTTAATCGACTGAGCCACCGTGCATTCTTTACTAGAAATAACAGAGCATCTCTGCACGTCAGGAAACAAACCAGACCCTGGTGCACAATCCCGGCCACTAAGGAACCAGACCTCCTTGTGCAACTTCTGAGTGCTGTGATAACGTGGGTAGCTGGTATCATCGGTCTGCACCTAACCAAGAAAGGTTACGGACCACTGCCCTCCCTTTACTGATTAACTGCCCTAAACTCCTTTAAAAATCCCTGGGCCAGGCAGAAACCTTGGATTTGGCCTTTGGACAGGAATCCGCCTTCTCCCCAGGTGACGGGCCTCCTGAATAAAGCTCATATTCCTTTCCAATCAAAGCTCCTCTTTTGAGTATTGGCTTTTCCGGCCACGGGCAGCTTAACTTGAGGTTCCCTAGCAGTCTCATTGTGGCAAGTGTGAAAAGAGTGCATACGATGGTAGTAGCGTAAGTAAAATATAATTGAATTTGTAAACCAGGCTCATTCTTCACTGAGAGCTTACCACGTGCCAGGCACTGCTCAAGCATTTCCTTAATCCATCTCGCAACTTCCTTAGAGGGTAACCGCTATTAGCGTTCCTTTCTACTAACTGAGGCAGAGAGGTCCGGTAACTTGCCAAAGGTTACACCGCTAGACAGTTTAAAAAGTCAACATTTGAAAATCATTATCTTGCCTCCCCGCAGCAAGGACCAATTAGAAAATGCGCTGGTCAGGCGGCCTCCGCCCGGAACTCATGAAAAGCTCCGCCCGCCCCTTCTTTCCTTTAAGCCGAGTACCAAGGAAACAGCGGAAGTGCCCGGGCGCCCACACTTGCCATGGCCGCCGCTCTGGTGTGGGTAACTTGTTGAGGCCGAGGCTGGAACTGGCGGAAGTGACGTTATCAACGCGCGCCAGGAGTTTAGTAGGGTCGGGAAGGGTCGCCGTGGCGGGCGCTTAGGCCGCCTGCGGCTTAACTTCGTTTTCGCGGGCCAGCGGTGGTCTGCAGGGACTCCAGGTAACAGCCCTTTTTGCTTTTCCTCTTCTCTGAGGACTCGCGCAGAGGCGACCACCTCAGCGAGGCCTTGGGGCCATGGCGGGGGAGACGCTGAGTGGGCGCAGGCCGCGGGGGGAGGAAGGGGGGGGGGACGTTCCTCTCGCTCGTGCCGCCGCTCGGGCCTGTACCGGCCGCCCACCCAGCCCGGCCTCCTGCCCGGACGCCCGGTGCCCTCGGCGGGTGTGCTTCGGAAGCGGCTTTCCACCCTTGGAGCGCGGGGTGCAGGGCTCCGGGAGGGCCCGGGACAGAACAGTCCCGCACATCCTAGAGCCGGAGTCGCCCTGTCCTGCCATCCTTGTCTCCTTGTCGATGTTGGAGGGCAGGTTCAACCTGGCCGGTGTCCACCTGCTTTGCTACCAGCCGGGGTGGTTTTATTACAAAGTTGTGCTTGAGACTTGAACGTTTTGTCAGAGGCCAGAGATTTCAGGCACGATAGAGCGTAAGGTGTAAATACCCAGCTCTTTATTTGCCAGGCCTAGCTGTCTAGGCCCTAGGTTTCTAATTTAAAAGCCTAGATAGGCTTCCGTGCGAAGAAGAATGTGCTTGGAGGCTTATACAGAGTTGATTGATTCTTTTCCCTTATCAGTGATTGTCTTTTAAAAATATCAAATTTGGTGCTTCAGTTTCCAAAATGGGAACACACTCTGCAAACAACTCTCTTTTTGACGGATAAGTTAGTTTTATAGGATAAGTTCTAAGTAATAACTAAGTATAGTAACTGCGGTTTTAATGGTGAGGAAAGATGGTCCGTCCCATCACTGGGAGTGAGAGATGGGCTCTGAACAACCATAACATCAGGCCCCAACCTAGTGCCTCTACACCTAGTGTAGACTTTAGTTTGCCAAATGGGGTCTGGAGCCACCAGTTTCTGGATAAATCTCTTGTCATGTTTATGAGTGCTTTAAATCCCACTCTCCTTTCTTGCCTCAACCGTAGCAGTGACTGCCTTAAGCTGAACTTCCAGCCTCCAGTTTTATCTCTTCGAATTCATCCACACTCTTGCCAAAGTAGATCTGTTCATGCTGCACTTCAAAATCTTGTCACTGCTCTTTTGGCAATGTAAGAATGAGTAAAACTCAAAAACAGTGTGACCGCACTGGTACTTGGTATCTACTCTCTTAAGCTTGTTGCTTGCATACTGCATGCTCTTTCAGTCTTTGTCCTCTTATGATTGATCTTTTGCCTGAAATTCTGATTTGTAAATTTCTGCTTACCTTGCTAGACCCAAGTTAGACAGTGCGTGCTTTGTGAAAATATTCCCCTTCAGAAACACTTGGCAGTTACTCTCTTTCCATAGCATGTATACAAACATGCTATGGAAAGAGAATGCGTTTATTGTATGCGTTTATTCATGTATGTGTTTATTCTTGATTACGTGCTATATGCAAATAGAGATTGCGAAGACATTTGCTGGATTCTGCACTCAAGAACTTAGCATAGTACACCTCTGTTATTATAGCACTTCAGTTTGGCAGTAATTATTTGCATACCCTTCAAATTGAACTCTGATGCTAATGACTATATCCTCATCATTTTCATATTTGTAGCACTTCTATTATAGGATAACAATTTTAAAAATATACTTTTTTTATATCTGACATGTTCTGAAACAGACTGTTCATTTTTTCTCTCTCTCTCTCTTTTTTGGTCTTTTACAGTGATGGGTATGTAGGATACATGATTCTCTCATTCATCCAACAAATATCTGAGTGCTTGCTTTGTACCAATACATGCTTGAAGATCATATGTGTCTTTGATATATCAGCAAGTTCTATATGTGACAATATCTTCTTAGATGATAATGTTTAAACTGAAATCTAATACTAATAGCAGCTAACATTTATCCTGTGCTTACTATGTGATAACTAGATGCTGATCTTGATGTGTTAATCAGCCGGTCCTATTTGATTCAGTCAGTTCTTATAGCAATCCTCAGCAAGTTAAGGATCCATCTGAACGAAACTCAACAAAAGGTCTATCAGTAGTCACTTGGTTCTTTGGTCTAAAAGAAATAAAAAATGTGTAGCCAGTAAAGAGCTGATGAGTTAAGGAAAACTAGATAGAGCACAGTTTATATTTACAGGTTTTAAAGAGATCAAGTAATAAAACATGTTTTATTTATTTTGGGGTCTGTAACGCTTCTATCACAGTGTTCTATTAAATTAGTAGATCAAAAAATGATCACAACAAAGTATATTGGATCCAATTCAATATTTATTGAACTTACACCCAAGACATTGTGGAGGATATAAAATATCTAATAGCACTGTGTATACAGTGCCCAATAAATATTTCTACTCAGATATGACAGTTTGCTTAGGAATTTGTTTTCCCTGAGTGTTTTTCCCCAAAGGTTTTTAACGTTGATTATGACACCTTAATTTTGAACATTCTAAGTATTTAAATATGTAATGAAACAATTTTTGTTCTATTGACAGTTTTACATGCAGTCACAATAAACATGGAAAGAATAACATTTCAGCATTATAAGGTTAAAAAAAATATATTCCAAAATAGCTTCATTGTTTTTTTTCCAGTTTTTGTGTAATCATGGAACTGGTTTATAAGACTACAGCCTGCCTGTGTTCTTATATTAAACTTTGAACTTTTTTCAAAGCAGATTGCTGTTTCTTGGTGTACATGAAGATAACGCAAGCAGTTGAGGAAGTTGCTAAGAAGCGTGTACTGGGGATGCTCTAGGAAAAGACTGAATGCCGAGGCGAGTTCCAGTCCAAAGGTATTTGATTTACCAAGAAGAAAGTGAACATCATGGATCAGAACAACAGCCTGCCGCCTTATGCTCAGGGCCTGGCCTCCCCTCAGGTAATACAGCTGGAGGGAGGGTGTAGATGGCACAGAATCTGCATTGTTAGAGACAGTGTAAAAAGGAAGGAAGGGAATTTAACCATTTATTGTTGAAAATGGATTTATATGGTTTCAAGTTTCTCTTATTCTGTTGAGAAGTTCTGTTAGGCTTTGAGTAGGCATGATAGTGTTAAATTTTGGGAGTTTATTTGGAAGTTAAAATATGTATTTGTCTATAAATCTTAATCTTTCCATAAATGTTTATGAAACGTTGATTATCGGTTCTTTGATTTTGAAAGTAACTCTAACCAAATTATTTTCTGGTTTTATCTTTTTTATGTTTAAGGTTCCAAATAACATGCCTACTTTTATTTTTTATTTTTCTTAAGATTTTACTTATTTATTTGAGAGAGAGAGGTGGGGGAGCGAGAGGAAGAGAATGTCCAGCAGACTCTGCACTGAGTGCAGAGCCCGACACGGGGCTCGATCCCTTGACCCTGAGATCATGACCTGCGCCGAAACCAAGAGTTGGCTGCACAACTGACAGCTCATACCCAGGTGCCCCAAAACGTTACATTTTTTTTTTTTTAAGTAGATATGGTATTTGTGGGGTGCCTCGGTGGCTCAGTCAGTTGGCCATCTGACTCTTGGTTTCGGCTCAGGTCATGATCTCATGGGTCGTGGGGTGGAGCCTTATGTTGGACTCTGGGCTTGGCGTGGAGTCTGCTTGGGATCCGCTCTCCCTCTCCATCTGCCCCTCCCACTCGTGCTCTCTCTCTCTGATAAATAAATCTAAAAAAAAATATAGCCTATAAGTCAGAGAAAGGCAATTATCATATGATTTCACTCATGTGGAATTTAAGAAACAAAATAGAGGATCATAGGGGAAGGGAGGGAAAAATAAAATAAGATGAAATCAGGGAGGGAGACAAACCAAGAGATTCTTAACTCTAGGAAACACAACTGAGGGTTGCTGGAGGGGAGGTGGGTCAGGGGATGGGGTAATTGGGTGATGGGCATTAAGGAGGACACTTGATGTGGGGCGCCTGGGTGGCTCAGTCAGTTAAGTGGCTGCCTTCAGCTCAGGTCATGGTCCCAGGGTCCTGGGATCAAACCCCGCATCGGGCTCACTGCTTGTTGGGAAGCCTGCTTTTCCCTCTTCCACTCCCCCTGCTTATGTTCCCTCTGTCGCTGTGTCTCTCTCTGTCAAACGAATAATAAAATCTTAATCCCCCCAAAAAAGGAGGACATTTGATGTAATGAGCACTGTGTGTTATATGCAACTGACAAATCATTAAACTCTGCCTCTGAAACTAATAATAAACTATATATTAATTGAATTAATTGAAACTAATAATACACTATATATATAATTAATAGAATTTAAATGAAAGTTTTAAATAAATAACCTTTAGATATAATTTTCATAAAATGAAAACACCCATTTTAAGTGTTTCAATAATTGTATATATCTGTTTGTATACACCTGATCTGCTAATCCATAGCTAAAGATAGTTTTGCCTTGCCTAGAATTTCATACAAACTGAATATCAGTATGTGCTTTTTTGTGTCTGTCTTCTTTCCCCAATATTACATTTGTATGTCTGCAGATTCCTTTTTTTTGCCAAGTAGTACTCAGTTGTATGGATGTACCACATTTTGTGTATCCATTCTCCAGTTGCTGACATTAGGGGGGTTTCTAGTTTTGGGCTATTATGAATAAAGTTGCTGTGAACGTTTGTGAACAGGCTTTGTGTATACGGTTTCTGTCTCTCGGGTAAATACTTAGGAGTGGGATTGCTAGGTCCTATGGGAAGTGTATGTTTCACTTTACAAGAAACAGTCAAACCATATTCTAGTTCCCCCAGCAGCATGTGAGAGTTCTGGTTGGTCCACATCCTCACTAACACTTGCGGCCTTAACTTTTAGCCATTCTAGTGGTTGCTTAGTAGTATTTCTTTGTGATTTGAATTTGCATTTTCCTGATGACTAATGATCTTGAGCATCTTATCAAGTGCTTATTGGCCAATTACATGTCTTCATTTGTAGAATGTCCTTCTCATCTTTTGCCCATTTGTTTATTGGATTATTTGTCTGTCTTTTATTGAAGTGGAATTGCTCTTCATGTATTGTGGATACAGGTTCTTTCTCAGGTGTAGGTACTGTAGATGATTTTCCTCAGTCTGTGGTGTGCCTCACTTTTTAATTTTCTTTACTGATGTCTTTCAGAAAGTAGAAGCTCTTATTTTTTTTCTGAAGTCCATTCATCAGTTTTACTTCATCGTTAAGTGCTTTTGTGTTCTAAGAAGTCTTGGCTTACCCAAAGTCTTAAGGATTTTTTTCTTCATAGTTTTAGCTTTTACATGTATGTCTGTGATCCATTTTGAGTTCATTTGTATATGTGACATAAAGAAAGGCAGACTTTTCAAAGTAACACAACCTGAATGTTTTCTAGCCAATATTTTATAGACCTGTTACATGCAGTAGAATAGTGCCTATAATCTTAGGGCTGCAGTATACTTTTGATCCTCCTCCTCTCACATTCTTTCTGCCATTATGTTGGTTAAACAATTTAACGTAAATATCTTAGACAGTTTTGGTTTCTGCTTTCTGCCAGATAAAGTGGGAAAGGATTATGGCTCTCTTTTGGATCTTGCACCCATTTGAGAATCTAATGAAAACTATGGATTCCTTCATGCAGAAATATTGGATATAATTTTTTTTTTTAAAGATTTTATTTATTTATTTGACAGAGAGAGAGACAGCGAGAGAGGGAACACAAGCAGGGGGAGCAGGAGAGGGAGAAGCAGGCTTCCTGTGGAGCAGGGAGCCTGATGTGGGGCTTGATCCCAGGACCCTGGGATCATGACCTGAGCCGAAGGTAGATGCTTAATGACTGAGCCACCTAGGCACCCCAATATTGGATATAATTTTCAGAGGTCCACAAAGTCACTGCAAGCTCTGCAAGCTCCATTGGCTCCATGGATTTTGGTGTTGGGTGAGAGCATTGGACTGGGTCTCAGGAAAACTTAGCTGTGATTGTGGCTTCTCTACTAGTGAGATCTGTGGTCTTAGGAAAGTAATTTAGCTTCTTCTGCTGGTGTCAGTTTTCTTGTTCTTAATGTGGGATGAACAGCATCTATTTTTCCCTTTACCAAAGGGCTGTTTTGAGACTCATAAGTTAATAAATGTAACAGTGTCTGGAAAAGTTAAGCATTTGGAAAAATAAATTGATATTGTTCTGATAGATGCGTTGGATTTTCTTGATTTAAACTTTTTAGAGAGCAAATGATCCACCTTTTTGAATAGTATTCTAATAATTGTCGTTATTGTTATTAACACTTCAGTGTTTTCTAGTGCCTGTCATTGCGTTGAATGAGTTAAGTGGCATCTCTAGGGTAAGCATATATATCATCCAAACTTGGACAAATCTGTTGAGAGTGAACAGGGAACTCCCCAGGCAGTATACTAGGGTAATAGTTTAAACACGGACGGGCAGTCACTCCAACTATTTCCTTTATTGTAACGGTATTAGAACATTATTATCCTGTAGATATGCCTGAAGAGCTAAGCAACTTTCTCGAGTTTTCACATGTAGTAAGTCGCAGGGTTGGATTTCACACCTAGGTATAACCCCACGTACTGAGGTTTTACCTACTATGTTATGGTGAAGAGGAAAGTGATATGTGTAAGAGCAGCAAATGCCTTTCTATTAAGGCGTCATAACGCCATTTATATTGGGAAGGCATCTGTCTTCATACATCTCACCTCCTCCTCTACCACACAAGTGCCAGAAACACCCAATACCAGCTGGCCTAACTATACTGTTTTCCTGACTTTGCACAGGGTGCCATGACTCCTGGAATCCCTATCTTCAGTCCAATGATGCCTTACGGCACAGGACTGACTCCACAGCCTATCCAGAACACCAGCAGCCTGTCTCTGTTGGAGGAGCAGCAAAGGCAGCAGCAGGCCCAGCAGCAGGCGCAGCAGCAGGCGCAGCAGCAGGCCCAGCAGCAGGCCCAGCAGCAGGCCGTGGTGGCGGTTCAGCAGTCGACATCCCAGCAGGCAGCACAGGGGGCCTCGGGCCAGACACCACAGCTCTTCCACTCACAGACTCTCACCACTGCACCCTTGCCAGGCACCACTCCCCTGTATCCCTCCCCCATGACCCCCATGACCCCCATCACCCCTGCCACACCAGCCTCCGAGAGCTCGGGGATCGTGCCGCAGCTGCAGTGAGTACTTTGTGTTGTGTCTTCCCCCTCACCCTGGAGGGGTACCTTGACTGGGTGCTGCTCTTCTTTGTTTTCAGGTGGATTGGTTTGTTTCAGGGTGTAGTACTAGTGGTAATCATGTATCAACATCTGCTTTCTCTCTCAACATGAGAAGGGGATGCTAAGCTGCCTGAGTGATTCGGTCCCCTCAGTAAAAGGCTCGCATAACATCTTCAGACATTTGGTAGCTTGTGTTTATAATTTGGGGCCAAATATATAGACACAAGCTACCAAATTGTTATAGACATTTTCCTGAAGCTGATTTGCTGAATCAAGCCTTATGTAGTCTCCTTCCCTTGTGAAGTTTTCAGTTTGGGGGAAGGGAAAATTAGTTACTTAGTCTTTGTTAGTTCATAGTGGTCCTTGTTTGTCTTCATTGGTTATTATGAGGGCTGCATATAACTCTTAGGAGAGCTGTGTCCTTTCCACAAGCTGAGGATGTCTGTTCTTGTCCTAAATGGACTTTTCTCCATAAATGAAATGGGTTCTATATGTGACAGCATTGGGTGCTGGGTGGGTGGGATGGGAAAACAATTCTGGAAAACATAAAATATTCTCATGCGATGAGAAGTACATAGCTTTTGCTTTTAGGAAACGGCCAAATGGAAGGGTCATTTGCAATAACTACATCATCCAGTTTTCTTTTAAGCCACCTCTGGTCATTTTTAGAACTAATAATATTTAATTGTGGATCCTGTTATCCAAATATGGCCTTGGGTGTTTGACCTGACACAGTTTTAAAAATCAAACAGTTTTCATTTTACTGATTTAGAGAGATAATCACTTGTGAATTCACCTTTGTCAACACCACTCCCTGTTTTGCACGCTTGTCTGGGTCTTATGGGCATTTAAGTTTGCACCTTTGTTTAAATCATCAGTTATAACCAGTTGTGATGGGGTGTTTGTTTCTTGCTGGCACCTTAAACTTTCTGGTATTCTACAAAGCATCTAGTCAGCCACATTACCGAGTTTCCATATCCACTAAGAGCCCTTCTGGGTGGGAATTTCAGTGGCCTCTAAATCTTACAGGCTTATGAAGAATTGGGTAAATAATTAATGAATGTATAAGAATACATTTTTAAGGGGCTGGCTGGCTCATTTGGAAGAACATGTGACTCGATCTCAGGATTGTGAGTTTGAGCCCATGTTTGGTATAGAGATAACTTAAATAAATAAACTTAGAAAAGAAAAGGATTCTGGGGAGATGGCAGAGCAGGAGAAATGCCCTGGACCAAATGGCTTTGGTGAATTCTTCCAGACATTTAAAGAAGAACTAACACCAATCCTCAAACTTTTCCAAAAAAATTGAGGAGGGAATGCTTCCTAACTCATTCAATGACTATGCTGACACCAAAGCCAAAGACACTGTAAAAAAAAAAAAATCTGCAGACCAGTATCCCCATGATCACTGATGGAGAGGTCCTCAACAAAATACTAGGAAACATCATTAAGCAGCATATTATACACCATGACCAAGTGGGATTTTTATTCTTAGAATGCAAGGGTGGGTCCGCATACAAAAATCAACCAGTGTAATATGCCACAACAATAAAATGAAGAAGAAAAGTGATCATCTCAATTGATGCAGAAAAAGAATGGACAAAATTCAACACCCTTTCATGATAAGAACACAACAAAATAGGAAAAGATGGAGACTACCTTAACATAGTAAAAGCCATATGTAAAAAATCATAGCAAGCCTAATATTCAATGTTGAAAGATTTAATGCTTTTCCTGTAAGATCAGGAACAAGGCAGGGATGACCTCTTTCTCCACTTACATTCAATATAGTACTGGAAGGTCTAGTCAGAGCAATACTAAGAAATAAAAAGCATCCAGAGTAGAAAGGAAGAAGTAAAATTACCTCTATTTGCAGATGTTGTGATCTTATACATAGAAAATCATAAAGACTCCACCAAAAAAAAAAAAAATGTATTAGATATAATAAGGAAATTTATTTAGAAAAGTGGCAGGATACAAAGTTAACACTCAAAAATCAGTTGCATTTCTGTACACAAACAGTGAACATTATAAAAAGGAAATTACAAAAGCAATTCCCTTAACAACATGAACAAAAAGAATAAACCAAGATTAACTGAGGATGTGAAAGATTTAGAATGAGAACTATAAAACATTGCTGAAAGAATTAAGACCTGAATAAGTGGAAACACATCTCATGTTCATAGATTGGAAGATTTAATATTGTCCAAATCTTAATACTACCCAAAATGATCTATGTTTTCAGTGCTATCCCTATCAAAATCCCAATGATGTTTTTTGCAGAAATGGAAAAACTCACGCTGCAATTCATATGGAATCCTAAGGGACCCTGAATAGTCAAAACAATCCTTAAAAAGAAGAGCAAACCAGAGGACTGACACTTCCTGATTTTGGAGCTTACTACAAAGTTACAGTAATCAAACAGCATGGTCTTGGCATTGACACACACATATAGACCAATACAGTAGAACAGAGAATCCAGAAATAACCTTTGCATATATGGTCAATTGATTTTTGTCAAGGGTGCCAAGACTGTTCAATGGAGGAAAGATAATCTTTCAACAAATGGTGCTGGGACAACTCGATATCCACATACAAAAGAATGAAGTTGGGCCCTTAACTAACACCACATACAAAAACTAACTCAAAATAGCTCTCTGGTGGTGACAACCTCCCCATGAAAGCATGCCTCTTGCGAAGGACCTCCTTTACCCGTTCCCGGAAGAGGAGGAGAGGAAGTACAAGAAGAAGCACCTGGTGCAGGCCCCAACTCCTGCTTGATGGACGTGGAGTACCTGGGATGCTCCACAATCACCACTGTCCTTAGCCATGCACAAATGGTGGTTTTGTGTGTTGGCTGCTCCGCTGTCCTCTGTCAGCCCACAGGAGGAAAAGCAAGGCTTCCTTTAGGCGGAAGCAGCACCAAAAGCACCAGGAATCAAGACGAGTGGGAAACTATCCCAATAAACGGGGCGCCTGGGTGGCTCAGTTGTTGAGCGTCTGCCTTCAGCTCAGGTCGTGATCCCAGGGTCCTGGGATCGAGCCCCACGTCGGGCTCCCTGCTCTGCGGGAAGCCTGCTTCTCCCTCTCCCACTCCCCCTGCCTGTGTTCCCTCTCTCCCTGTCTCTCTGTCGAATAAATAAATAAGATCTTAAAAAAAAAAAAAACTGTCCCAATAAACAGATTTTGGATATAAAAAAATAAAATAAAAACTAACTCAAAATAGATCAAAGACTTAAATGTAAGACCCAAAACAAAACTCAGGAAGAAAACAGGACAAAGGCTTCACGACATTGGACTTGGCAGTGTTTCCTTGGATGGGACACCAGAGGCACAGGTAACAACAGAAAGAAACAGATCAGTTGGGCTACATGAAAATTTTAAAAACTTGTGTATCAAAAGACACTGTTCACAGAGTAAAAATGCAACCCACAAGGTGGGAGAAAATGCTTGCAAATCACGTAACTGATAAAGGATTATTATCTAGATATTTAGAGAACTACTAAAAACTCAACAGCAAAAAAAGAGCCTGATTCCAAAATGGGCAAAGGACTTGAATACACATTTCTCCAAAGAAAATACATGACTGACCAATAAGCACATGAAAGGATGCTTGACATCACTAAACATGTAAATGCAAATCAAAACTGCAGAGAGATACCACCTCATACCCGTTAGGATGGCTACTGTCAAAAACAGCATATAGTAAGTGTTGGGGATGTGGAGAAATTTGAACCCTTATGTACTATTGGTTAAAAAAAGAGAAAAAGAATACCTGTAGCAATTATATGACTAAATTTGTGGTAGATGTACCACAACTTACTTGATTCAGTTTGTAAGGAGAGAAATGCTAAAGGTAGGTGTGTATATAAAATTGATTGGGAGAAGACAGATGATATAGAAATGAAAACATTCATTGGGTTGATCATTCTAATTGGTCTTACCGTTGTGTATTGAGGTACACAGCTATCCTCTTACCCAACCAAATTGTGAGCCATCAAGTTTTCAGAGTATTGCATTTTGACAGGACAGGAAAAGAATCAAAAGCAGCAATGACCTAGAAACAATTGGAGATGTATTTGCAGTCTGGAATCAGTATTTACAGGACAGTGATGTTCCGTGCCCATCCATGATGGTTTATGGGCAATTAGTTTCATTCAAAGGGCATATAAGGGCTTCATAAAAGGCTAAGGCATGGCTCTAGGGATAGATGGGTGTAAATCCTGACTCTACCACTTAGGAACCATGATTATCTGGAGCAAGTTAACTGTCCCATTTAAGCCTCAGCTTCATCTGAAAATGTGAGTATTAATAGTTTTTACTTCATAGTACATTGTTAAGTATCAAGTGGGATAACCTGTGTAAGATGCTCACCGTGGTGTGTGGTAAACAATAAATGTCAACAAATTAAAAAAATTTAAAACTTAAATTAGTTTAAATTAAACTAATGTAATTAAATTTGTTCTAGTAAAAGAATCAGATTTCTAGATAATTAACATCTCAACCTATAAAAGTTAAATAAATGATCATGTTTTCTTTTCCAATTTCTTGCAGAAATATTGTATCCACAGTGAATCTTGGCTGTAAGCTTGACCTAAAGACCATTGCACTTCGTGCCCGAAATGCTGAATATAATCCTAAGGTTAGAGCAATTTTAATGTATTTCAAACTATAATAATACAGGAATTTATTGTTAAAGGTCCCTAAACCAAAAGGTGTCATGCTTATGTTCGTTGACACCAACAAAATGAGGAATTAAAGCAAAATGTGTATCTTTTTTTTTATCGAATAGCTACCATGTGAGAGACCCTAGAGTCATGGTAGTCTACAAGTTAAACTACTAAAATTTATGTACCCATTGTGATGGGGATCCTGTGACATTAAAGAACAAAATATGTGGTATGGTTTCATTTATGTTTTGAAATCGATGTAGAAGGGAATGATACGTTCTCTGGAATTTACTTCAAAATAATCCAGGTGGAGAATTGGGGAAGGGCACTTGGGTGAAACAGGATTGGCCAGAAGTTAATTATTTTCAGAGTTGGGTAGTAAGTACAAGGGAGTTTATTATATTTTTCTGTATTTGTATAACTTTTAAGCTTTTTATAATAAAAAGATTATGGGGTAAAAATACAAGATTTTTGGTGTTAAGATGGCAGCTTGAGTACATGGTAAGACTCAGCATTAGTAGATAAGCTATTTTTTTAAAAAATAGTAAATATTTGCATTCACAAATGAGTGGACATTCTTTGAGGACTAGACCAGACAGACCAGGCATTTGAGTGTAGAAGATGATCAGATTGAAGACCTCCGGGACAGGGCCCTGCAGAAGACAGTTCCCCTAAAGTTGAGAACGTCTATTATTAGCATGCTGTTAACTTTCATAGATGGGGAGCTGATAGTAAATTTATTTTGTCTAACAAAGGAAGAATAAGATTTTATATAAGAAAGAAAAACTCAAGAATTTAACTGAATTATGTGTGACAGGCTGTCTGCGTAATGTGTGTCGGTGTCTGCTTAGTGCCTCTCATTTCTGCCAGGTTAGCACCGTTTCCTTTACCGAAATCTCCCATGTCCCCCCTTTGGTTAAATTCCCAGTCTAGGTTGCCCATGAGGGTTTTACTCCCTTTTCTTATTTGGTATTATTTGAATGTCATCTTGAAAGAGTGGCCAAGTGGCAGCATTTTAGCACCGGATATTTGACAGTGGAAGAGTAGCAAAGAGTAAGAAGCATCTTAAGTATCGTAAGAATTAAGTGAAATTCACTTCATATATCCAGTTTTTGTTTTTGTTAAGTTTTCTTATGCCTAACCAGAAGAATTAACTCCCAAGAACCAGTTGGGTCAATTATAAGAATGAAGTCTTCTTCTCAAGTGATTGTTCTGTTCTGCGTCCCCCCTCCCCACCCCCAATATTTATCCACTTAACTAGCAATTGTACCAATACTACTTGGCTGGCCAATAAAATAGTTGAGGACAATTTTATTATCTGACTCTGTTTTAGCCAGTGAATTTATGATTGTTGGGGGAGTGGTTTCATTTGTTTTTTGAGCCACAATCCAGGAGCTCCTGTCTTAGTTCAGGAACTCCCCAGTCAGGGTAGAAATCTCATACACAAAGTGAAATCATGTTCTTGTACCACATTTTGCAAACAGCACAAAATGATTAAAACCAAGGGGAAGAAGTGAGAGAAAGAAAAGGCAGTAAATATACAAAGTCTGTTGTCCTGTCCTTGATTCAGAGAAGTCTTGGGAGGAAGCTGTATTTTCAGGAGTCATCACTTTCTGGAGGCCTTTTAGTAGATTTGGGGTTAGTCTTCAGGCAGAACCCATATGCATTTGGATTCTGAGTACATGCAAACTGGGGAAGGTATCCATGCATCTATTCCTGATGCTTGAGAATAGTATTTCAGGGAGGAGAGTCTGAAACACTTTCTTCTAGACAGTTTGAAGCCGACTTCCACTGATGTCTCTTTCCTGTTTCTGTCTGCCTGTATATCACATGGAGATGTGTGCAGTGATGTTTCCTCTGGAAATGTAGCTTACCTGTAAGTGGGCACAAGACTTTGTATATGACATGGGTTTGACCAGTCCAGGTTTCCCATGCTATCCAGAAGTTTGCATTAAGTCACTTTGCTCTTATGAAGGACCTACATTAGTACCTGTTTTTGCTAACAGAAAGACATCTGAGAATTTTTGCTTTTACAAAATGGTAATTGTTTCCTCACTTTACTCCATTTTAGCTTACAAATGTTTCACAGGAATACTCCACTTTCTAGTAGCAGGGGAGACCTGTGCTTGACAAGACCAAGATACAGCAAATTAGTGGACCATTAGTGGTAGCCAGGACAATTTTCCTAGGTCTTTCGGGAACAGTGTCATAGGGTGAGAATTTGTGGGGATTTTGAGGTGTAACTCACCTCATCATTAGGGCTAAGAATGCAGGCCAAGGAAAATAAAACTCTTTTTGGAAACTTGACCTGTTTTAGCATTGGCCTTTTAACAAAGGAAAGCTTCAATCAACAGGAGAACTACAGACACGCTATTACTAAGCATATCTAAAGTTTTTGGTTTGGCTACTAGATCACATCTAAGTGAGAGTTCAGAGTCTTGTCCTCTATTACAGTTTTTGTTGGCTTGTGAAGCAGCCTTTTGAACTTCTCAAGTTAAATATCCTCACCAATATTTCTGTAAAGTTTGAATCAATGTACATATTTGTCTTTGTCTTTGCTGGTGGCTTTTTGTTTGTATGCACATATGTGTGTGCACATGCCTAAGTATTAAAATTTGAAGATGATTTTGAGTGGAACCAAGCCATTTTGAGATATTTAAATAAAACAAAGAGAAATACAATGACTAAGTTTCTGCCTCCCACCTCAACTTGAAAACTATATATATTATTCTGTTGTCAGTGGTGGCTAAAGCTAGTAAGAGCTGCTGTTTGCATATAGTATAGTGAAGCCCCTTTCCCTAGAGTAGGGTGTAATCTTACAATGGATATTGCCTTCAGAAGTCTGATTCTTCTAGTAAGTCACCAATTTATGTTTAATGATTTAATTGGAGATATTCAAAGAAGATTGAAAACTCTTATTTTCCTCATGACATAAACCCAGATCTTATTGACTATTAATATTTACTCATGAACCTCTACTAAAATAACTATTTTAGTAGAATGAGCTGTTGTAACAGAGTGTTTTATAACAATATTTAGAAGTTAAACTATATCAGTATAAAGTACACCTTGATTATGTTAAATATATGAATCATTATTGAATGAGGATGTCTAGGATGTATCATCAGGGCAAAACAGTCAGAATGAGGCAGGTTTAGATTTATTTTGATAGTTTACTAAAATTATTTTTTTTTAAGGGAAGGGAAGTAAAGTAGCTGGGTTTAGATTGGAGCATTATTTAACAGTTATATAGGAAGCAGACAAAGTAATATTACAGAAGTGTAGGGGTATGTTTGTCAGCTGTAACAGATAGCTAAGTTGGATGGATAAATATTAGCTGTGGGTTGAGAAAAATGTTAAGTAATGGTCTTGGAGCGAGTTTCTAAATCTCTAAAACATAACCTTGTGTTTTATATACAAGTGAGAAAGATGTAGCCTAGGTAGAAATGTCCAAGATAAAAATTGCTGTAATAACTGGCTAAGAACAAAAATGACTCATTTAGCTATTGAGACTTTTTGGTCAGCTTGGTTGAGCTAATTAAAATATGGAATATCAAATGTGGCCAATTATTTTAGAACCCCTTCTTTTTATGGTACGAGAATAAATCTTTATGTTTACCCAGTGGCCATTTAGGAAACCACAAAGATACTTCGATGTAAAAACAGTTCTTTTTTGTTTTTTTAATTAAGAGTAAGAATATAAGAAAAAGGAAAAGTCAGAACTTTTAACTTTTTTCATCATTTAAAGCATTTTACCTTTGACTTTGAAATGTAATATCAGCATATTAAGTAAAATGATATATATGTAATGTTGAATTTGTGATGTTAATAAACTAACAATTTCCTTAATAAGAAGGTACAATATTTATTACCTATTGTGCCTGGTATAGTCTTTTTTTTTTTTTTAAAGATTTTATTTATTTATTTGAGAGAGAGAGAATGAGAGAGAACACATGAGAGGGGGGGAG